AAAAAAAAAAAAAAAAGGTTGTTGTTTTAACCCACTGAGTTTTAAAATTTATTGCACAACCAAAGATAACCAGAATATAAGTGTAACAAAAGTAATTACAAATATTGGAGCTTATAAATGAAGTTATACAAAGATGTTTTCTCTTAAAAAAAAAAAAAAAAAAAAAAACGAACGAAGCCTGTCTCCCTATGACCTGGGTTGGCATGGATACAGAATTAGGGTCTGGGCTTAATCCACAGCCATCTTCATTCACCTGCCAAGGCCGCCTCTTTGTTTCAACATCCATTCACTCTACAAATATTGATTAAGCTTCTCGATATAAAGAAGCCCTGAGGCTGGCATCTGTGGGAACACACGTTCAACCAGAATCTCCAGGACTTCAGAGGCAAAAGGGAGAATGAAATTTTACAGCACAGCTGCCATTTTACACATCTTCTCCAATCAACGTACATCAGCTCATTTTTATACATAAGGACTTGATGGTTCCAAGAAGAACCTGCCAGAGGTCACAAGTACAGAGCCAGGCTCCTGCTCCTAGTCTACGTTCCCTCTGCCTGCCTGACACCTGCATGTACATACATACACATACAGGCACACTCAAGATACATGAGAGAATGAGCCGGGGTCCTGAAAAGAACAATTGCTCCTAGGAAAGATGGTTCAGAACTCAGCCTGGAAGATCAGGAAGAAGGGGCTGGGGATGTGGCTCAAGCGGTAGTGCGCTCGCCTGGCATGTGTGCGGCCCGGGTTCGATCCTCAGCACCACATACAAACAAAGATGTTGTGTCCACCAAAAAAACTAAAACATAAATATTAAAATTCTCTCTCTCTCTCTCTCTCTCTCTCTCTCTCTCTCAGGAAGACTCTAGAAGACAGTCAAGTATAGGAAGCTCCTCTACTTCACATACTCTGTTCCCAGAGCACTGTAATCTGGGTCTGGAGGTATGGAGACCAGCCTGAACAACTCTGTACTAAACCATTCTTGGAAGGGACAAGTCACAGCCAACTCCAGGCAGCTCCTTGAGTTGTGCCTCCTGCCTGCTGAGACTCCCACCTGCATCTGCACCAGGCCTCAATTTCATCAATGAAGTATTTCCTACTGTACTGTTTAATCAAAACTCCACAAGAGCCCTGGAAGGTTGGCAGGGCAGGAATGAAGCCGTTTACAGACAAGGAAAAATAATGGAAGCACCCCAAAACAGGGACCTGGTCTGTCTTGCTCAGTGCCCTGCGCCCAGCACCTAGAACCATGCATGGCTCAGAGTCAGTGTTCACAAAGCCATCTGTGGAACAATCTAATCAAAGTTCAGAGAAGTAAGTGGCTGCCCAAAGTCTCAGAAATAGCCATGGTTGCCCCAAGGGTAAAAACAGAGTCTTCAGTCTCTTACCTGGTAACCCTGGGTTCCAAGGTACAGTGCCCTACCTCCCATACCTCCTCTGCCTCCCTCTCCAATGGCTGGTCTCTGTCCTCTTGTGGACCCTGGAAAATGTTAAAAGCTACAAGTAGCTTTAAGTCTTATGTAATATCAACTCCTTATATCCCTATCACGATGCTGAGATACGTGCAGGAAAGAAGTTCTGCCAAAAAGGAAACTGAGGCCCACAAAAAGTGACAGACAATTAAATGGCAGGAGAAAATCTAAAAAAAAAAAAACCTAAACCAAACCAGGAACAATGGCACACACCTGTAATCACAGCAACTTGGGAGGCTAAGGCAAGAGAATCTTAAAATCAAGGCCAGCCTCAGCAACTTAGCAAGATCCTGTCTCAAAAAATGAAAAAAAAAAAAAAAATTTTTTTTTAAAGGGGGCTGGGGATGTGGCTCAGTGGTGAAGCACACCTGAGTTCAACTCCTAGTACCAAAAAAAAAAAACTTGGACCTGATTTTCCAAGTCAGAACCAGAGACACTTCTGCCAGTCCCTGGCCAGGAACCCTAACAAAGCAGGTGAGAGCCCCTGGTCCAGAGATCCTCTGTCTCTGGATGCCAGACCCTGCTGTGATGCCTCCTTCCTCCCAAAGGAGGGGCAAGTGAGGAGAAGCTGGGCTCAGGACTGGCTACTTCCCCTCTCTGGCTCATTTCCTCATCCTCATGTGTGCCTGGCTCACAGAGCTGATGGGAACAACTAATCTAGGTGACATGATTAGAACAGTGCCTGGCACACATCAGCCCTTGCAGCCCCTGACACTGCTGCCTTTGCCTCCTAGATGACCAAATTTCCCAGATGATCTGCTCCTACCAGCTCAGAATCCTGGGAATTAATCCTGTTGTTAGGTGAATATGAGAACGGGAGTGTGACCCTGGTGAGAGTTGGTGGTTACTTTTGCATTCCTTCATTCACTCAGTAAAACTGAATGTTATGTGTAGGACAAGGGGCCTCTCTGTCCCCTAGGAACTGAGTCTCACAGCCCTTACAGGGACCAGGTTCCTAGAAAGCTCTATCACTCCTACCCATCCCAGGCATAAGTTAGTGCTTCAAGCAGAGATTTCTCTACTACTCCCCATGGACGATCCCAAGAGGTCCATCATCCTAATCCCTCTTCTCCTGTCCAATTTAAATTAAAATCCATTTAGATTTAAATTTTTCTTTAAAAAGGTCACCCTTGGACACAATACCTTTATTTATTTATTTTTATGTGGTGCTGAGGATCAAACCCAAGGCCTCGCACATGCTAGAAGAGTGCTCTACCGCTGAGCCATAACCCAAGCCCCATTTAGATTTAAATTTAAAATTATTTTCAAGGGGCTGGGGTTGTGGCTCAGTGACAGAGCACTTGCCTCACACATGTGAGGCACTGGGTTCAATCTTCAGCACCACATACAAATAAACAAAATAGATATTGTGTCCATGTATAACTAAAAAAATATTTTTTAAAAATTGTTTTCAAGGAGGCTTTACCTTGAAATTAAAAAAAAAAAAAAGAGAGAGAGAGAGAGAAAGGCATCCTACCCCAGCCTTATCCCTCATGGACACCTCCAAATTGCTCACTCAACCTTCAGTTCCATCAACAGCTCAATGGTCCCAGGAAATAAGCTAAATGAGTGGGGGGGATGGCAACAGCCCCTCAGCCCTCAGCTCTCCGGTAGGAAGCTGACAGGAAGATGGGTAGGGTGTGTTTAAGCAACTGCTAAATTACAAAGAAGTCAGTTCAGAGCCAGGGGAATCTTCCCAGGTTGATGTCCTCTAGTGCCAGGCCCAACAGAAGCCCAGGCACATGGGCCTCGGGTCACCAGTCTGAGGAAGCCCATTGTGGTGTGTTTCAAATTACCTCTGCGTGTCTGATGAAGTGAGTAAAAGGGAATGGTTTCAGGGCTTAGGATTCCTGAGTGAGCTAATACAGGATGCCTTTGGCTAAAAAAAAAAAAAAAAAAATTTACAGCCGGCTCTCTACACCCCCCCCCCTTTTAAGTTTAAAAAAGGGAATGAATGTTACCATTTTTGGACATGAGCATTCTCCCTTAAGCCCAGCCCTAACCGCACTATCCAGAGGGACGCGCCATCCTGTCCCCCCCCCATTCCCAGATCAGCGGGGGAGGGGGGGTATGAAACCGGGAGGGACCGGATGGGAGCGGGCAGCTGGGGGGGTGGGGTTCAGGGTACGTGGCTGCCTGGGGCAAGGGCTCACAGAGCAGGCAGGAAGCAGCAGCGGGGTTGGTGCGCCCTCCTCCAACAAGAGTGGTTTCTGACCTCTTCCTACCACTAGCCACTATGCCCGGGTCCCATCGCCAGCTTCCCAGCCCCAAGCCCAGTGGCGCAGCGCGTACCCTGCACACGGCTCCGTGGTTAAGCAGGGATCCCCACTGACCCCAGATAGCTCCGGAGTCTGTTCCTCATCCTAGAGACCCTCAACTCGAATCAAGGTGCCCAAATTAGCTTTCCTCCCAGGAAAAGAGCAGGTATGGGAGTAACAGGACGCAGACGCAAAGCTTGCAGCTACCGACCCACAGAGTTAAGCAATAAAACGGTTCTAGGTCCTGACCCCGCCCCCACAAGGCCGGCTGGAAAGCCAGCGGACGCCCCCCAGGTTTTCTTGGCCCCAGCCACACTCCAGCAGGTCCACCTCCAGGCAGATCCGAAGACCGCCGCCAAGCCCCCCAGCGCTAGCTCTCCGACCGCCTGCGAGCTGGAGCTAGGGAGCCTAGAGACGGGGGCAGCTGGCCCCTCAGGTACTGAGCCCTGGGCGGCCCAGGAAGCGCGCTGCCACAGCACGCCATATGGAGGCGACCAGGGGGCGGGGAAGGGAAAACCGATACCAATAGGCAGCCACCGAGCTGGGGTCTCAGCCCCAACCTCAGGAGCACCGCCTCCGCTCCCTGCCTATACGGGGATGGTGGCAGCAGAAGTCGGGTGGCCTGAATCACCCGCCTCAAGGAGACCTGCCCGCCGGCGGCGCCACCTCCCCGTGCCGGAGCTAGCCGTTCGCGGGCTCTGGGGCAGGGGCGCTCCCAGCTTCCGCCCCGAGCCTGTAACCCAACACCCCACCTCGCGGTGGCCGCGCAGTCCCCGCCCCCGCCCGTGCGCGCCCGGAACCCGTTCCGAGCCCGGAGCCCGGAGCCCGAAGCGCGGCAGGCAGAGCAGGTCCCAGCTGGGAGCTGGGGGCTGGGGGCTGGGGGCTGCGGCGGGAGGGCGAGGGCGGCTAACCTTTCTCTGCTGCTTCTCCCAGGCCGGGTCCAGAAGCAGGTCCCGGTCCCAGTCCTCTTCGGGCTGCATGTAGTCATTGGTTTGCTGTGAATCATAATGGTCCATGATGGTGTGCGCGTGCTAGGGGCTGAATTTCTTCCTCCACCTTCTCTACGGGCGACGGCGGCGGCTGCCCCGGCGTGGGGAGGGAGTCGGCCGGGCTGGGCTGGGCTGGCGGGGCCGGGCTAGCTCCCCTGCGCCGGGTTCCGCCGCGGCGCTGCTCGAGGAGGCTGCGAGTGCTGGTGGAGACAGCGGCGGCTGGAGCTCGCGGACTGCCTGCCTGGGGCGGGCGCTCGGACCTAATCTCCACGCACACTGAGCGAGGCGGACACACTCGCGCTGCGGGAGCCGAGGCGGGCGGGGGCGGGGGAAAGGGGCAGAGCCCTCCCGAGGTTCTCCATTGGCCAGACCGAGTTGCCCAAACTTCCCCCCATCGCCTCTCATTGGGAATTCCTGGCATCCGTCAGGCGGGCTGCGGTGCATATAGGTGGACTAGGCGGCCCCCTCCCGGCGCGCACGCCCCCGCCCACTCTCCGGGTTCCCACTCCCCCGCGGCTCATGTGACACCAGCTTAAGCTGAACAGGACCGAAGCCGGGGGACGCCTCCAGAGCTCGGGGACCAAGCGACAGCGCGCTTGGGAACCCCGGGAGCCACCGGGAATTGGATCCATTCCCCGCCCGAGCGAAGGCCCCGAACTTGGGCGCACAGGCGTTGTTGCGCTCCCACGCGTGCTTCAAACCCCCGGCCCGGCGGGGGCTGGAGAAGCGCGGAGAAACCGAAGGAGCATTTTATTTTTTCCTTCTCAGGGAACCTGGTCTGGACAAGTCGGCACCCTAGGAAAGGGGGCGGGGAGGGGCCCCTTAGGGGAAAGGAATTTCCTGGGAATTTCCTGACTCCACCACCATCCCCGCCCCTCCCGGGGCGACCCGGCTGATCCCTGCCCTGTGGGAGCCAGGTTTCTCGCCAATAAACGTCTTTCTGAGGCCACTGAGCTTTCCCGCGTCCATACAGGGTCCTCTGGGGCCGGCGCTTAGACTCAGGGGACTGCTCCTCCGCGGGCTTTCTGGGTGGAGGCTGCGTTGCCCGGCTCCCCGGTATTCCCGCGGGCAAGCTTTGTGGCTGGAGCTATCTTTGATTGGCCTTCCCCTTCACACAGACCCTCAGCACCACCCTAAAAACTGGGAAGAAGGGCCCTACAGCATAGCCCCTTGCCATATACACACACCTGACATATGAGGAAACTAAGGTCCGAAGAGCTGAGCTGGACAAGAGTTTTAGCAGGCTCAGGACTCCGAAGGCCAATACTGTAACCTTATGCCCAATAAACAAAGCCTTACTGTTACTGGATGAGGAAGGAAAACAAGATTGACTATACTGCTGCTTGGAACCTGGATGGCCTTTCTCAGACCTAAGATGAATGAAACCTGTTAGTCCAGCCATGATAGTTCCTAGGGAGAGACAGGGCTCACATCCAGATGGGCTCCCCTGTGGGATGGTGAGTCTAGAAATCAGTAGTCATTTCTTCAATAAATGGTTCCCATGTGGACAGTGGAAGTGTCAGTGTCACCACTATACCTAGCATGGTAGGGCTTAATTTATATAGTCACCCTTCCTATTCAGGAGGATTGATTCCAAGACCCCTGCAGATACCAAAATCTGCAGATGCTCAAGTCTGTTACATAAAATGGCATAATATTATGTAAAACCTACATACATCCTCCTGTATACTTTGAACCATCTCTAGGTTACTTATGATACTAATACAATGTAAATGCTATGTAAATAGCTGTTACACTGTGTTGTGTAGGGAATAATGACAAGAAAAAGAAGTGTATACATTCATCAATTTTCCCCCAGGATATTTTCAATCTGGTTGGTTGCATAGCAGATTCAGAAGCATGAAAATGGAAGGACAACTGTATTTGTAGAATGAATGGCTAAGTCAACTGCAAAACACAAACACACATGAGTTCACAAGCAAATATGTCAATCCAGAGGTGAGTGAAGGAGTTAGAAGAAAACATTCACTGACAGGAAATTCCCTGAACTAAAATACTTGAGAGGCCATGTATGGAAAAGGAAAAGAAAGTGCCTCTGATTCTTGGAGAAGCCAGCTGATGCTTTTGTAAGCAGATATTGGCAGTGTTGGTCCACGCATCATTAGTCACCCACACATGTATATGCAAGTGTCACCATCAGCACGGTGCCTTCCACAAGCTGCTGGCCAAGGAAGCACTGCTTCTGAGCCACAGAGACAGTGGATTTATGGACTATTTTATAACCACTTCTAAACTATGGCTCTAAACCTAACATAGAGGGTAATGATGGTGCTATATCTATTTATTCACTCAATAAATATTTCTGAGCACTGTCTATTAGGAAATGTGCTAGACTTTGTGTACATAGAGATGAAAAAGACACAATCCCTGCCCCACGCAGCCCAGCAAGGGCAGATGCAGAAACAAAACTGTGATGCAGAGAGTGGATGCAGGAAGAGATCTAAGGGGGTTCTATAGGCACACAGAGGAGGAGCACAAAGCTGCATGGGAAAGGAGGCCTGTGTTTACCTTTTTGAAGGAGGTGAAACTTGAGTGAGACTTAAGGAATGAGAGACAGAGTGTGGGAGCTCATTCCAGGCAGAAGGAACAGCATAAGCTAACAGGGACAGGAACCAGCAGGGTATACAGAGGAATGCCTCGCATGGGCTGGAATGGGCTGGAACAAGGCCAGGTGGGGCAGGGGTGGGAAGTGTTTAGTGTTGCAGAGGTGGGCTCATATGCCGTGTCCAGTGTTCCTCTAAGGGGAACAAAGCTGGCTGGACCAGTTGCAGAGGTGTTATCATAACCCAGATAGGAATGGAGAACAGTAGATAGACAAAATACTCAAGAGCTAAAACTGAGACACCTAAGAATTTTATTTGACATATGGAAGAGACAGGAGTTTTCACTGAGATCTAATATGGGAAGAAAATGTACTTTACCTACAGTGTGTTATCCTATTTAAGCTCCTTCTAAGAGGAAAAAAATGAACCAAGGTTCAGGTAGCTAGTCCAAATTTGCACAGTGACTCCTAGACCCATGCCTTTATGCAGTGATTCTCAACCACAGAATATTCACACACCTGCCCCCATGGGATATTTATCAATGTGCAATCATTTTTGTTTTGGGGGGAGACTTTGCTACCGGGGATTGACCCAAAGTGTTTAACCACCAAGCCACATCCCCAGCCCTTTTTTATATTTTATTTAGAGACAGGGTCTCACTGAGTTCCTTAGGGCCTTGCTAAGTTGCTGAGGCTGACTGAACTTGAGATCCTCCTGTTTCAGCCTCCAGAGCCGCTGGGATTACAGGTGTGCACCACCATGCCTGGCTCAACGTGTAATCATTTTTGATTGTCACAGCAGATGAGTTATTATTGACTTCAGCTGGAGGGAGGTCAGGGTTGCTGCTAAACATCCTACAATGGATGGAACCACCTTCCCACAACAGGGAATTTTCTGGCCCCAAACCCCGGTAGTGCTGAGGTTGAGAAATTCTGCTTTAATCAGGAGTTTATAGTTTGGGTGATCTGAAGAATGGCAGAAGTACAACCAACTGAGACAGAACAGAAGACAAGGTTTGGGAGCAGAATCTTTGTGTGTGTGTGTGTGTGTGTGTGTGTGTGTGTGTGTGGTTTTTGCTGGGGATTGAACCCAGGGCCTTGTGCATGTGAGGCAAACACTCCACCAACTAAGCTATATCCCCAACCCTGAGAGCAGAATCTTGAATTGAGTTTAAACACACTGAATTTGAAGTGCCCTTAGAATTCCAGGTTCAGCTACCCAGCAAGCAGCACATGGGTGGTATTGATACCATGAGAAGATCATGAAGGATGCCCATGTGGAGATGAGAAGAGAACCAAGGCAGAACTCTGACCTGCAATACTTAGAGAACCAGATCCCTGAAAGAGACAGAGAGGAAATGATCACCCAGAAACAAGGAGAGTCTAGAACTTACTGTGTTGAGCTGGTCAAGGGAATTAGATTTCAAAGTGAGAGGAACCAACAATATCAGCTATATCAGAAAAGTCTGGAAAGTAAGGCCCAAAAAGTATTCTTTGGAGGGGCTGAAGTTGTGGTTCAGTGGTAGAGGGCTCGCCTAGCATGCAGGAGGCACTGGGTTCGATCCTCAGCACCACATCAATGTAAAATAAAGATATGGTGTCCACCTAAAACTTAAAAATAAATATCTTTTTTTAAAAAGTATTCTTTGGATATGACAGTGAAAAATTCACTGATGGCCTTGGCCTGTGGATTTTAGGAGTGGCTGAAGCTGTGAATTTAAGAAGCAGTAGGAGAGAGGGGCATGGTGGGACATGCCTATAATCTGAGTGACTCAGGAGGCTGAGTCAGGAGGATTGCAAGTCCAAAGCCAGCCTCAGCAATTTAAGCAAGGCCCTGTCTCAAAAAGGACTGGAGATGTGGCTCAGTGATTAAGCACCCCTGGCTTCAATCCTGGTACCAAAAAGAAGAAGAAGAGAAAGGAGAAGAAGAAAAAAAAATTAGGAGGTGAAATAATGAAAACAGTTAATATAGAAGGGGAAAAATCAGGGACTGGGGTTGTGGTTCAGTAGCAGAGTGCTCGCCTAGCACATGTGAGGCACTGGGTTCGATCCTCAGCACCACATAAAATTAAATAAATAAAAGTAGTATGTCCATCTACAACTAAACAAATATTAAGAAAAAAGAAAGGCAGGGGTGGGTGGCTGGGGCTGGGGCTGAGCGGTAGCACACTTGTCTGGCATGTGTGAGGTTCAATTCTCAGCACCGTGTATAAATAAATAAAATAAAGATCTATCAACAACCAAAAAAAATTTTTTTTAAGCAAGGGGAACAATAATAGGTAGTAACTAGAGGGAGACTGTGGTCAAAGGAGGATTTCTTCTAGAATTAGAGAAACTGGATTTGTTTATAGTCTGAGAAGAAGGATCCAGTTGAGAGGAAAGGGTTGACAATGTAAGCAAAAGAAAGTTAGGGATGGGGCTGGGGTTGTGGCTCAGTGGTAGAGCGCTCGCCTAGCACATGGGAGACACTGGGTTCCAACCTCAGCACCATGTAAAAATGAAATAAAGATATGTCCAATATCCACCTATAACTAAAAAATAGATATTAAAAAAAAGAACCGTGCTCCACTTAAAAAAGAAAGAAAGTTAGGGACAGCATGAAGTCGTTGAGGCAGGACTCTGTTGGGTTCAAGGACACCCATTAAAGAATAGATCATGAATAAGAAGAAAGACCCTGGTCTTCTGAGAAACCAAGAGGGAAGTAAGAATTGGTGA